GGGGGAGATGCTGCCGGGGGGGTGGGGAGGGGGCGCGTTGTCAGCCCCCCCCCTCCTCCTCCCTGAGTCAGCAACCTCACCACCGCACCAGCGCTTTCTAAAAGCCTATTCAATCCGAGGGCCCCCCGAACCTCACGCCGCCGTGACCACACGTGGGGTCAACGGGGATAGTGCAGAACAATTTTCAATGTAAGCAAATACTTATTCTTGTTCTTTAAGATTTTGTGGATACCCAATAATTTGATCAAAGGTGTCCTGGCAACATGTCGCGATTTGAACCCAATTCGACAAAAAAAGAAAAGGATCGTCCACATACATGCACTGAGGGCAGTGGAAGGAAGAGAACGGCCGGGAATCAATAAATACATTTGAATGGATAAAATATAGATTGTCGTGCCTTTTTCTGAAGTCATTCACTTTCATGACACTGCCACAGTTTATTTTTATATTTGTATGTCCAGTCTAATTATACTGGAAGTATCTTTGAATGCATCAGGGGGTGAGATGGATTTTATAAACTGCACCAGGCTTTCTCATCACCTGCACAATTTGAATTGCCAACTTGGTGGGGACCCTTTCATGACCACAATTTTATATCCCCTGCCCCGGCCCCACCCACTGTTGTCTGGAGCTGCGGAGTCACACGAGGCCAGTGAAAAAAACGTTTTCATGTGCACTTACCCAAAGAGTAAAAACCTTCCCTTGCGGTCAGGTTTGGCATCTGTTGTGTCCATCGACATCTCCTCTTTCTCTTCTAAATCTCCAAGTTGGGTCTTCTCTGCAGGTTCTCCAGCCATCTGTTGAGCATCACATGACCAAACTTTCACCATGCCGCTAACATTTTTTCATGAAACGCAATTACAATGCTTCGTATCACGAAAAGGGCTGATTCACATTCAGTTATTTCAGGAACGAGACAATAAGTGACTTTTAAACGCGAGTGCAATTGACAAATCTGATTCCATCTCGCTAGTCGTTTACGGAGAAAACTGAGTTTTAGAACGCTTATCAAACTATTTTAGGGAAGAGTGACCACGTTATCACAAACTCACGTTGTGTTGTTATAGTGCTAAGACGCTAGGTCAGTCAAGTTGCTGTTAAAAAAAAAAGTCGTTTGTTCACCACCGACACGCTTTCACTTCCTCAAAAACAACAGCTGGAAACTCTTCGGTCAAGTTTGACGGGGGAATCTCCAAGGAGCGTCACGACGTCTTACGTCACGGCCAACGTAATCTACGGCTGCCGTATTAGCGACACTTCCTTGTCGTTATGCGTGTGCGTTGTTGCCATATTGGAACGGTTCTGGCCGGCATTAAAACAAGCGTTACACTATTGTAAACTATTGAAACAAGATGTTATACCGAAAAAACAACTAATTAAACTACATTCTACTTTTTTGGGGAGTTTTACAACGAAAAGTGTTAGGACCACAATGAAAACGAGATAAAACAGTACAATAAACTAGAATTATTTTGTAATTAAAATAGAAAACTAATTATTCATCTAACATCAATATCCTTTCTGAGAATAGAAAATATTTTATAAGAACAAAGTGTTAATATGAGTGTAACTGTCATGTAAAATGTTACATACATACATACATACATACAACTGGCAATTGTTGAATCCCTTTAATCAAAATGTTAAAAAAAAAAGTCCATAGGTTGGAGATTTTTTTTTTTTTTTTTATCAACCTGCAACCTGTCTGGAAGACACTTTTGTGGCTGTGCGCATAAAACTCAATTGAATTGAAATTGATTTCCATTTTCGAAGTTGTTGCACTTCACAGCTTTTATGAGCTCACGGAACTGGAAGTAAATTAAAAAGAATGCGGTAAATATAAAATCTGATGTTTTGATTAGCTTTGAATTTCTGCATATACTTGTACCAAAATGATTCCAAGCAATCCATACAGCGTTTCAAGCGATTCCCATAAACGGTGCGGTGGTCTAGTTCCTATCTATAGCTATTGTTTAACATCGAACGCTGTGTCACTCCCGATGTGTCATAACAAGGTTGACCTAATTGTCCAGCAAGGGATCATTACACACCTACATTGCCATGTCCTGCAGATAGGCAGCTGTGTCTGCCAGTGGTCTCGAATGCTTTGGCACAAGGGGGGTGGTCCATCAAGGGAAACCCTGTCAAGTAAGAGAACGCAGTAGCACAGTCACAGAACTAAGTTTACCACCAGCGGAGAAACACACAAGAGGGACTGCCTGCTGGTTGACTGCTTCCTGAACTTTGTCTCAAGATTTTATTTTTGAAGGGGCGCAGGGTGAAGACAAAGGATTTAAAATGCAGTCTTGTGCAAGGTGCGGGTTTGTGGTGTACCCGGCGGAGAAGATCAACTGCATTGATCAGGTATTCAAAGAAGGCCTCGATTGATTGTTGTTTGGCAGAAATGTTTTTGTAATGACTATATTGTTTTACCTTCAGTCAATGTAACATATGCCAAAGCAGACAATTCTAAAAAAAATCATCACAGCTGTGGCAACGCTGAAAACGTTTACAGCAGGGTTGGGCAACCTGCGGCAGGTGGGCCAAATAGGGTCTGCATTTTATCTCTAAAAACAAATAAAAGGTCAGAGAAACGTTTCCAAAAAGCTTAAAAGCATAATAAATGATGATCATATTACACAGAGGCAAATCAAAACTGGATGCTAATGGTCAGATCTGGCCTGAAGCTAATGCTAAATTTGTGGTCCTGCCCACATGCCAAACTATGTGGTTAACACCAGAACTAATAATGTGATTTTTCTTCGGCAGAACTGGCACAAAGCATGTTTTCACTGCGACGTCTGTAAAATGGTGCTGACGGCCAATAACTTTGTCAGCCACAAGAAGAGGCCTTACTGCTCAGTGTGAGTAGAACTCAGCCAATAGTCTCCATTTCGAAAAAAAATGAATACGTAAATTCAAAATAAAAGTCACAACGGTGTGTATTTCCCGCCTGCAGACACAATCCGAGGAACAACACCTTTACCAGCGTGTATGAAACACCCATCAACATCACCGCGAAAAAGCAGAGCAATGCCAGCAGTGAGGTGAGATGCTGTCATGATGGCTTTAGGACACAAGCTACTATCTTTGCAAAGAATTTGGAACATGACACAGAAGGCGCTTACAGCATGCTTGCCTCAGGCAGGTGCTCAGTTGTGGCCAGATTGAATCACAAAAAGCAGGAATTTGGTGGTCAGGTGACTTCCTTTTTTTTTTTTTTTTTTTAAGCACTCCATGGTATCTTTTCCCAGAAGGTAGCTATGAGTCTATCGTGACGGCAGCCTTATGGAATGGAGAGGGGAGAGCGCGTCTCCGGTTATTTCTGTGTTTTGCCCTCGTCGCCGACCAGCTTTTATGCTTCAGCCGGCTAAAATTAAACTCCACAAAAAGATCCCGGCGTCGCTCCCCCTCCTCCACCTGTTCCCGTCTGTTGGATTCCGTCTGCGTCTCAGAGTCCACGCGAGACTCCCGTCTTATATTAGCAGCAGGCTAGCGAGCATATCAGCTACTGAGAGATGCACCCAAAAAAACTGAGGTCGTCACATGCCGATATCTGATCTGACCGTTGACTTGTGACCAACTTCCTATTATTTTTTTAACACATAACTTGTTTTCAATCATTCTTGGGCTGAGACTAAAACGTTTACTGTTGAGCCAAACAACTACTGGACTATTGGAGAAAACGGATTTTGTGATACCGACAGATTGTAAACGCAATATATATTGTGACAACATATTAGATGAGGCCTCAGTACAGCATCTCGAGGGACTTTACATGGAATCCAGCATCGTTAACAGAAGGTTCCTGATATGGAGTAAATCCTCGTGCATCATATGACAAACACTTGGGGCCCTAACAGATAATCTTGCATCATCAGTGTTAAGTGTTTTCTCGCCGGATCTGAAACGCTCAGTCCCTAAAATCAAGCCATCAAGTCACGATGTTTGTCAACAGCCAGATTCACCAAAATGTCACGCAACCTCGGCAGAGGAGGCACATGTCCAGTGTTGCGCTTGTGCAAACGTGTGCTGGTCTTGGCTTTAATGTTTTGTCGTCTATGTGCAATTGTAGCTGAAGTATCGCGAGGATGGCGATCGTTTTATGTCCACCTTCCACTATGACATGAAGTCCAGGGAGCTGGAGAGGGCTCGTCTAGCCAATCAGATGGCCGGCCAGGTGAGCTCAAAAGGAGAGCAACTGGCCAAAAAGGGGGACTTCCTGGCAACATTTTATTGGCTATATCTTGAACCTCAATCCTCGGGAATAGGAGACACCATATACACCAAATCATCATCACTTCTCTTCGCTTTTGTGCCTTAAATGTCTTTTGAATGTCATTTGTATCCAAACAGTCCTTCAAGTTTCAGTCAGAGTTTTCCCAGCAGCAGTCTTGGTACAACCAGGAGATGGTGTCCATGTCACAAGCTCAGACAAACATCAGTGACGTGAGTTGACTGTTTTCGGACCATTTCGTCTAAATGCTTTTTTTTTTAGGAAAGGAGTTGAATGAGTATTTCTACTTTTACCAGAGTCTTACACAAATATCTGTAATTCTACTTCAGTACGGCATGTGTGAGTACTTTTGCCACTTCTGATGCCAGGTCAAATACATGGAGGAATACGACGAGTCCAAAGGCAAAGGCAGCTTCCCGGCCCTGATCACACCGGGATACCAGGCGGCCAAAATGGCCAACACCCTGGCAAGCAACGTAAGGGAACATTTGCCACATTTGCTGCATGAGTGTGCGCCCATATTGAGATTCTTGTGCTCTGTCTCGAAAAGCTTGAATACAAAAAAGGCCACGAGGAGAGAGTTTCAAAATACACCGCCTTTGTGGACCCCCCGGAGGTGCTCCTGGCCAAGAAACAAGGGCAGATTGTCAGCGATGTGAGTCTTTTGTCAGTGACTTTCGTGTCGACTCACACTTGGGCAGATAATCATGCGAATGCTGCGGTACCTTCAATCGAGTTACGCTTCGTCATTTGGTCCGTTACTTTTGTTTTTTTTTTTTTTTGTGTCGAGAGATAAATGATTTAAGGCATTTTAATTCATAAGGGGAGATTTTTTTTTTCTACAGTTCTTGTGCATGTGAGGGCGGCCGCAGTCTCATATTCTTTTTGCAGTATGCCTACACAGAGGAGTACGAGCAGCACAAAGGCAAAGGCAGCTTCCCCGCGCATCTGACACCTGGATACAAGATGTCAAAAAAGGCCTCCGAACAGGCCAGCAACGTAAGCATAAAAAAATTGTGCCGTGGCTTGAAGTTAACCAAGCACTGATACTTTGATACTACGACTTAAATACACAGTGTGAGTACTTTTCTGAAAGTCAACTGCTGTCTCTGTGGTTTGTGGCAGATAAAGTATCGTCACGTATACGAGCAGGAGATAAAGGGCAAGGCCAGTGCCGACGCGACCTTGGCCGAAATGCTCCACGCCAGAGAGAATGCAGACAACTTCAGCCAGGTTGTTGTTGTTGTTTTTTTTTTTTTTTGGTCATCACAGAAGTCAGCAGAATATTTGTAAGAGACGTAAAAACGCAAATTCGTACATGCACCCTAAGATGGATATCTAAGTAAAACCATCTTTCCAAAGCAACTTGTGCTCATCTAAACTGCAGAATTCAAAAGGTGTGTCTCGTGAATCATCTCCGGCATATTTAATCATGCGGTGCACTTTCTGTAGATCGCCTACACCGAAGAGTACGAGCAGCAGCGAGGAAAAGGAAGCTTCCCTGCCATGATAACGCCCGGGTACCACCTGGCTAAGAAGGCTCAGGAAAACGCAAGTGATGTGAGTGGAAAGTTCACTTTGTCTTTGGATGTGGATTCTTAAAAGTTGTGGAGCTAAAAACAAAACTAGGATCGGTTGAAATCGATTTCGGTGCTCAGTGTGTGTTTGGGAGGTTAGGAGAGACAACTGAAAGAAAGAAAACACAAAAAAAAAACCCTTTGCTTCGCTTAATCTGTTTTTCTCGCAGCTGAAATACAGAAAAGACTTAAATAAGATGAAGGGCACGTCACATTTCCACAGCCTGACCTCGGAGGACAACCTGGCCTTGATGAACGCCCGCAAGATCAACAAGCTTGTCAGTGAGGTGAGGCGGTCGCTTGGCTTGAAGCCATCACGTAGACGCGATGCTCAGCGTCCCTCCGAGGCCACGCGGTGCATCTGTCCGAAATTATGTCACCGCGCGCACTTGTGGCTCTATTCTGAACAGTGAACATTTTGATGTCTATTACAAGTGGCTCGTGGCGGACTGATCATTTTAAATTGAACAAAGAGCAAGCTTTGAGATCAGTGACTAAAAGTGTGAAACGTGGAAAAAAAAAAAGAAAAAAAAAACAGTTTTTGAATCCGGCACAGTATATTTGTTGGGTCTAGTTCAGTTTTGTCGAACGTTTAAGTTGCAAATATTTGCATTTAATATTTGAGAACAGATTGTTTTTAAACATTTATTTTGAGATCGTTTTTTTGTTTTGGGGGGGGGGGGTTACTTGGTCATAATTGAAATCGTTTTTTTAGCAGGAAAATGTCTGCCTTGTTTTTGAAAAATTGGTCTTGGAGAGCTAAATTTTCCTCTCCTGGCCAACAGGTAGAGTACAAGAAAGACTTGGAGAACAGCAAAGGCCACAGCATCAATTTCTGCGAGACGCCCCAGTTTCAAAATGCTACTAAAGTAGCCAAGTTCACAAGTGATGTAAGTCCAGAGCAATGATGTTATCGTACCCTGGCCGCAATTACAATCGCATGGGAACTGTGGCGATATCGTGGTGATAACACATGCGCTACTTTTTCTGTGTGGTGCACAAGAACAAATACAAGGAGAAGTACATCGACATGAAGCGCCACTATGAAGGCTCGGGAATGGACAAGCGGACCATGCACGCCATGAAAGTCCGGACGCTGGCCAGCGACGTAAGCATTTACAGACCATCGACTCGAGGTGCCGGTCAGTCAAATGAATGAATGCCAGTCATAACCGAGCCTCGAGTCTCGAAAATCAGCCATTTAAGTCCTACCTCCCTCTTGCGTCTGGATTTCACAGCCAGTGTGCCAGTTTTTAGGCGTTTGTCCTTCAGGATGAAGAAACTGTGGTCTCTCCTGTGCTCTTCAGATTTCATACAAACAAGGTCACGAGCAAGATCAAGGCGAGTACACCTACCAAGCCACACTGACACCAGGCTACCGCAGCCAAAGGAAGCTGGACCCACTGAAAGACGTGAGTTCTCTCCAGTCTGATGACAGCGCTCGTTGAGTCGTTGAGGGATTTGCCCGGTGAAATGTCCACCTCCGCAGAAGAACTACAGGCAGCACATCGACCAGGTCAAGTACAGTCCAGTGAAGGACACGCCGGCGATCCTCCTGGCCAAGAAAAACGCTCAACTTATCAGCAATGTGAGTACAACGCGTGAGCTCAAAAGTGTCATGTTGACGGGAAAGTTTTTATCAACACATTTCATCAAGAAAATGCTTGCAACAAACCTTTTTTTATTTTATGAGAAGCCATGACGCTTGGATTCTGCTGCACCAGCGGGTGCTCATTCGAATGACCCTTCTTTTGCTTTGTGTTGCGAAGCAATCCTGTCGTTCTGAAAGAGGGCTCTTTTTGCAATCGTTCAGCTCAACTACAAAGCAGACTACGAGAAGACCAAGCATCTGTACACACTTCGCGAGGACTTGCCACAAATCAAGAGGGCCAAAGACAATGCGGCCTTGTGCAGTGACGTAAGCGGGCCCCCGTTTTCTCCATCTTCGGTGAGATGTCGTCTCCCGGTCACACCGCGCGCTCTCGTTCTAGATTAAATACAAGGAGGAGTGGGAGAAGACCAAATCGAAGGCGTGCGACATCGGCGTGGACGACCTCAGCGTCAAGGCGGCGAAGGCTTCCCGAGACCTCGCCAGCGATGTGAGGAAAAACAACACGACCCCAATGATTGGGAACGCGTGAGTCACGATGCCTGTGATGTGCCCTAGCTCAAATACAGAGAAAACTACCTGAAGAACAGGGAATTGGCCGCCGGCGTCAACGTGAGCGACTCCAAGACTTTACATTCGCTGCAGGTGGCCAAGATGCACAGCGACGTAAGTCATTCCGAGCCACCCCACTCGCGCGGCTGGCTCTTCGTGAAGTCACTCGCATTGGTTGGCTCCCCCTGCAGATTGCATACAAGAAGGGCTCCAAGGAGAACCGGGGCCAGTACAGCCTGTCGATGGACATGGTCAACCTGAGTCACGCCAAAAAGGCCCAAGCTCTGGCCAGTGACGTGGAATATCGCACCAGGCTGCACGATTACACCGTCATGGCTGATGACATCAAGGTCCAGCAAGCCAAGAAGGCGTACTCCCTGCAGAGTGAGGTGAGAAACGGGCACGTGATCTTCAAATTACAGTTGGACTCATGAAATCGGGCTATTGTGTGGTCCACAAACAGTTCAGGCCAGAGCTCGACTGTGTGTCGTGTCCTCCCGATCTGAAATTGTACTCATGAGTGTGTCATATGCTGTCTCAATGCGAGAACCCGACCGATGTTATCGAGAACAGCGGGGTCAAAATCAGTTCAGGCTTTTTTTTTTTTTTTTTAGTACATCAATCAGTCTTCAAATTCGCATTCCGTCCATTCATTCATTATAACCTGTCGGTTCATTTCAACGAGGAGCTTAACTTCGTTCTCACAAAGATGTTCTGGGCAATTTGATGATTTTTCTGTCTGACTGTGCCCCAATACACCGAGCAAAGTCTCGAAGGGCATGGCTGGATGGGCTTGATCGCGAGGATCTTGAAAGTCTCCTCGCCTCAAAGCGGTCAGATCTTTGAAGCCACCCTTTTCCAATCGACTGACCAATGACTTTTTTTTTTCTTCCGCTCATCAGAACCGGTATCGCTCAGACTTAAACTGGATGAAGGGGGTGAGCTGGGAGACCGACGGCTGCCTCAACATCACGCAGGCCAAGAAAGCCGGGGATCTGCTCAGCGACGTCAGTTCTCTGTCGTGTGTTTAATCTCCGAGCGAGCTCCGGATAAACGACGCGTTGTGTCCGGCGCTGTCACTCTTTTGTAGAATAAATATCGGCAGAAGGTGGATCGCATCAAGTTCACCCAGGTGGCGGACAATCTGTTCATCAAACACGCCAAGAAGAGCCAGGAATTGCAGAGCGACGTAAGGTCATCGCGATGAAAGCAGACTTGCGTTGCCGCAGCTCACCGTCGGTCACTGCTTTTGAAAATTGTGCTTTTTAGCTGGCGTACAAAGCAAACACCGAGCAGATGATCCACCAGTACACCATGACGAAGGATACGCCGCTGTTCAGACAAGCCAAGGCAAACGCCGAGCTTCTCAGTGGGGTGAGTGCGCCGACCTTCCTGGATTTTATAAGAGTGACGACGTGAACGCTCATGGTTTTATCACCTTTTTTTGCCAAAACTGATAGAGTGGCGTTACTTTGAAAACAAAGGACATCGGAATAGGATTGAAAATCCTCAGAATCCGGTTGTTCAAGGGGTCATTTGAGGTGTACATTCACCTTCAAGGCAAAGATGGTCGTTCGGGGTTTGCGTTCCTTGCGTGTTCAAAAGCAAACCGTCATTCCTCTGATTGTACTTTCTTTCTTTTTTCTTTCAGAAAATCTACAAAAGCCAATGGGAGAAACAGCGGGAAAAGGGCTTTGAGCTCCGATTAGACTCACTTTCGATTCTCACCGCCAGAGCTAAGAGAGACCTGGCCAGTGATGTGAGTTTTTTTTTTTTCCCCCACGATCGGCGGACAGATTTAGAAATGAGGACAGGACCTTTGATTTGTGTGAAATTCAAGAATGAATGGTTAGAATGGGTAAAAGCCGTGCCTCAGAAACAAAGCGACTTTCATGCCTACCGTTTTCATCATTTATCGGCAGCTTCTGTGACCGGCCCACCTCTCGGTAAAACTCCTCCGTCTTGTTCCCTGGCAGGTCAAATACAAAGAGCAATATGAGAAAAACAAAGGCAAGGTGATCGGAATCAAGTCAGTCAGCGACGACTCACAGATGGCTCACTCGGCTCTGGCCACCAAACTACAGAGTGGCCGCGACTACAAGAAGAACTATGAGGACACCAAGACCCAATTCAAGTGAGGCCTTCGGTGTTGGTGAACGCGACGTGACTTTTTCATGCGCGCTGTTCCTGCACCAAATGCTAAGCTATCTAAACGTAGAATGATACAGCAGATAGATAACGCGTCTGTATGTGCCGTCGCCTCAGAGCGGATGATACTTTTCCTTTCCCGACATTGATATTGAGACTGTAAAACACGACAATGTGCGACTCAATCTCCTCCCCAGTGTTTCTCTGGACATGCTCAATATCAGCCAGGCCAAGAAGGCCCAAGACTTGGCGGCAGACTACAACTACAGAACATTCCTGCACGAGTACACCACGCTGCCAACTGACATGAATGTGGCCTGGGCAAAGAAGGCCTACGGACTGCAGAGCGACGTCAGTGCCACAGACAGAGAGTTTCAGAAACTTCTATGTCATTGGTCGGTAAACCATTTTGGAGAACCGCCTGTCTATGTGTGCGTCTTTAGAAACTCTACCGATCCGATCTGGCCTGGATGAAGGGTGTCGGCTGGGAGGCCTCCAAGTCTTTGGATGTCCAGCAGGCCAAAAAAGCCGGGGAGCTGGTCAGCGAGGTAACGAACAGAAATTGATAGGTGCGAGCGATTGTGTAAAGCAGGAGTGAGAGGAGAGAGACACAGAAGGAAGAAATAGAATGTTGGCCATCAAAAGCCCAATGAAATTCTCAAGTCAAGATTTCAACCCCTCCCGCTTTAGAAAAAGTATCGCCAGAATGTGAGCGCCCTGAAGTTTACAAGTGTTGAAGACACGCCAGAGATGGTTCAGGCCAAACTCAGCAACAAACTGGCCATTGATGTGAGTACTTGTGACTTGAGTCGTCATGTCTCGAGTGTGATGAGCGGTTTTGCGAATGTGAAATGATGCTCGATACGATGTCTTGACAGAGGTTGTACAGAGAGAAGGGAGAAAACATGAAGCACAACTACACCCTCGATGAGGAGCTGCCCGAGTTTGTGCAAGCCAAGATCAACGCCTTGAACTTGAGTGAGGTAAACGGACGCCGAAAACCAATCCGTTCTGCCTCAGTGCGACTTTTACAAGCTAAAAAAACTCTTTGATTTCAGAGTCGTTACAAAGAATCTTGGACTAAACTACGTGACGGAGGCCACAGACTGCGTCTGGATGCTATTCCTTTCCAGTCGGCCAAAGCCTCTGCTGACATACTGAGTGATGTGAGTGGCCAGCGCGCCGGTCCGACGAGGAAATCTGATGTCAGAGGCCTCAAAGCTGTCATCGTCTTGCCAATATATTCATTGCAATGCTATGTTCGTGTCATGACAGCAAAAATACAAAGGGGAGTTTGAGAAGACCAAAGGGAAGATGACTGGACCGAAAGGGCTGCAAGACGACATGAACATGGCTCACTCCGTTTACGCCAACAAGCTGCAAAGCGACGTGGGTGCTTTCTCTCTTTGGTAGACTTTTTACCTGATTGAAAACACCTTTTCCCCTTCCGCCACCCAGATTACGTACAAGAAGGAGTCGGCCAGCCAGCGCTCCAAGCACCACCTTCCAATGGATATGTTGGAGGTGGCCCATGCCAAGAAGGCCCAGTCTTTGGTCAGCGATCACGACTACAGGCTGACCTTGCATCAGTACACCTCCCTGCCGGACGACATGAAGCTGCAGGCGGCGAAGAAAGCGTACGCTCTGCAAAGCGAGGTAAGGCACACTCAACACTTACAAGGAGTTACAACAACCACGTCACGATTTTCTCCATGTTGCAGAGGATGTATCGTTCCGATCTCAATTACCTGCGGGGTGCAGCGTGGATCGCAACTGGGGCTCTGCAAATTGAAGGCTCCAGGAAAGCTGGTGACCTGATCAGTGACGTAAGACTGATGATTTACCTGACTGCCTGCCGACCCACCTACCTGGCTACAAACATTTCAATACCGCAATGCCTCTAAACTGGAGCAAAGATGACTCGCAATCTTTGTCCTACCTCAGAAAAAGTATCGCCAGCAACCATACAACTTCAAGCACACGTCTGTGGCAGACTCCCCTGACATAATCCACGCCAAACTCAGTGGACTGATCACGAATGAGGTAAGTATGTCGTTTTCCCTCGCAACGTGGTCATACCGTTATTCGCTAAACTTGCCTCTCGCCTAGCGTCTGTACAAAGAGAAAGGGGTGAGCGACCAGCACAGCTACACCATCACGGCCGAAAGACCGGAGATCACTCAAGCAAAGATCAACGCGGCTAACTTTAGCGAGGTCAGACCGGCTTCTGTGGCCCGTCGACTTGTTCTCACTGTCGGACATTTGAAGCCGGATGGTTGGTTCTTCAGATCCGATACAGGGACTCCTGGCATAATCTGAGGGCTCGGGGCTACAAGCTGACCATGCAGGACATACCATTCCAGGCAGCCAAGAGCTCCACGGGCATCGCCAGTGATGTAAGATTACGATGACAGATACGGGCGCTAGTCTACTTACTCATATTCCAGTTACCAACATCACGGACACAAGACTAATCTGTTGCGTGAGTGAGGTCACATTTTGGTTCAAAACAGAAAAAAAAAATTGAGCAAGCGACAGTTTGTCATTGAAAAATCTCTAAAGTCGGTGCACTAACAGTCAAGCCAAAATAAAGGTCTTTGGATTTGTGTTGCCACAATTTGAGTGCCGTATATTTTGTATCTCCCTCTCCGCAGTACAAGTACAAACACAACCACCTCATGGAAAAAGGCAAGCGCATTGGCGCCCAGAGCGTTTCGGACGACACGTATCTGCTGCACTACATGCAGGCAAACCGGTTGGCCAGCGACCAGGAGTACCGCAAGGACGCCTTGACGGCCAGCGGGCGCTACCACCTGACGCCTGACACGGTCCACTTCGTCACGGCCAGGAACGCTCAGGCCCTGGCCAGCGAGCAGGACTACAGGAAGAGACTTCACGAGTACACGGTGCTTCCCGACGACATGAAGGTCAACTGGGCTAAGAAAGCCTACAACCTGCAGAGTGAGGTGAGGCAGGGCGACCAAAGAATGCGATCATTGGGTTGGGAGGTGAACTGAGTGATATGACCGCTTCCTGTCTAGACACTGTACAAGTCGGACCTGAACTTCATGAAGGGCGTGGCGTGGGATGGCGTGGGAGCACCGCAGCTGGAGTCGGCCAAGAATGCTGGGAGACTTGTTAGTGATGTAAGTGGGCACTTTCAGATGACACCGTGTTGAAAAAGAAGCAACCCGCATGAAAGATAAACATGGCAAGGCACTTTTGGAAAGACACAGAACTCCCTGTGAAAAAGAAAAATGTAGAAGTAGTAAACCAGACAAAGCCAAAAGATCAGGAAGAGCTTGGCCGATGTAGCAACACAAACCATCTAACGATACTCACGGACCGAGTGTATCTTATCCCTACGATGTGGGAACGGCAACTGCTACTTCGAGTTGGTAGGGGTCCTCCTCCTGCAAACTGTAACAAAACATAAAAACGGTCACAAAGCACGGCGGAAACGATGAGTCGCAATATACCGAGAGAATATCACCGTACAGCAAATGCATTTTTTCACCATGCAGAAGCGATACCGCCAACTGCCAGACAGCTTGAAGTTCACCTCGGTGACAGACTCCCCAGATATGCTCCACGCCAAGGCCAGCTATCAACAGTGCAGCGAGGTAACGTGAAGAAAATGGATAACGAAACAGTTTTGAGCAGTTTCTGGACACATGATTCCGGTTCTCCATCCAGAGGCTGTACAAATCGGGTCGGAACGACGACATGAACAAGTACACCTTACATCCGGACGATCCCGACTTCGTCCGAGCCAGGATGAACGCCCAGCACATTAGCGACGTAAGATCCATTGAAAACTAGAAACATGCACCGTACTCACACGAGGCTTTCAAGGAACATTGAACAATATTGTTGGAGGGACCTCCTCGAACCTTTTTGTTTGCGGTCTAACGGTTGAAGAGTGAATTTTACTTTGATCCCGAAATTTCACCTGAAAGCTGAATATTCCTAGCCTTTTGGAAGCAGTGTACAGTGGATGCTAAGAAATGGGACCACTGAACCATTTGGGTGCAGAAAGTATACAAGGCCTCCGGAGAGCAGCTGAAGATGCTGGGCTACGACTTGCGGCTGGACGCCATCCCCTTCCGAACGGCAAAGGCCTCGAGGGAAATTGCCAGCGATGTGAGTGTTGTCTGCGCTTCTTGGAAATGATCAGAAAAGGGCCTCTGCCCCAAAGTCCTCAAAGCTGAAGATCCGTCATTCGTAGTCAATCAGTCCTAATTTCCGAACCGATGAGGTGCAATCTGATTATTTCCGGGGAATGACCAAAGACCACTTGCCCCTCGACTAGGTGCTCTACAAGGACTCTCACTTGCGGGAGAAGGGCCAGCAGGTGGGGCTGCGCTGCGTGGAGGACGACCCGAAAATGATGCACTCGCTGGCGGCCAGCAAGCTCCAGAGCAACCTGGAGTACAAGCGGCAGTCCAAGGAGGAGCGGGCCAACTACAAGATCCACGCCGACCAGCCCGAGTTCCTGCTGGCCAAGAAGAGCCAGGCACAGGCCAGCGACTTGGCGTACCGAAGCAAGCTCCACGACTACACGTGCGACTCGGAGCAGCTCCAGGTCAAGCACGCCAAGCAGGCCTACCAGCTGCAGAGCGACGTAAGACCCACCGAGCAGTCTGTGGACATTCTCGGTCAAAGTTCACTTTTGTCAATTTCAGTTTTTGCGGACTCACGATCACTATCGTCACGACGACTGTAGTGTTAGTGTCACCTTTGGTTGACGCTCGAGCTCCTGCTGTGACGTCTGTTGCAGGTGAACTACAAGTCGGACCTGAACCGGATGAGGGGAGCGGGCTGGACCCCTCCTGGCTCCCACAAGGTTGAGCTGGCTCGCCGGGCTGCCGAGCTGGGCTTGGCTGAGGGGGTGACCACAGATGAGGCCATCGCCAAGTACCAGCGCATGATAATGGTGAGTCCGAATTGGTGCGTCTGTCTCTTCCAGGGGGAGACAACTCGGCTCCGAGAGTGCCGCAGTCCCGCACGTTTCAGAAGTCCCCTTTTCCAACACACCTGATTCAAATGATCAGAATAGTTATTAGGCTTTTACACAGCTAGTTGAGGAGCTGATCATGCGCGTCACAGAGAGAAGGTGGATGATAGTCATTTATTTTTATTAATCTAACATAACAGCCAGTGTGTGGGACAAAGACTTTGTGCATGGCTAACTTTAATGTAGTGTGCCAAGAGAGGGAAACCGCCAAACACACGTTGAGATGATAATACAATTCAGTCAATTGTGAGGAATTAAAAAAAAAAATTTCCACGGGTTTCATTTGGTCATGATGTAGCCAAAATGAACATTTCAAGAGTTTAAGTCGCAAAGGACAACATTTGACCAAAGTCCTCACACACTCTTGGGAATTTTACACATTTGCATTGACACAGATGAAATGGTTCCTGAAAAGTAGTCATTGGCCACAAATGGCCAGCATTGAGCTCAAAGGGTCACTATCAAGCTTTCAACCAACCTTTTCCATGTTGCAGCTCCACTACCAGCAGCGGATGGAGGAGCAACAGCAGCAGCAACAACAGCAACACTCGTCCGAGCAGGCGCAGACCAGCGAGGAGATGCGGCAAGGCGTCAACATGGACGCCACGGAGGTGCTTCACGTCAACAGGACAAAGACCTACCAGACCGTGCAGAAAAAGACCACCACCACCACCACCACAAGTAGCAGCAGCGCCACCTTCAAATCCATGGAGAAGAAATCCAGCAGCGCCTCGTCGGCCGCACGGCACAGCGCGCTCAAGACATCCGGTCAGGCCAAAGCTATTAAAGATACTTAGAAGTTTGGGAGAATACGGCCACGCGGGACTGAGCTAGATGGATGATGAATGAAGGATGCAAGCATGTTGAATGAAGATGGAACTTGCTATGTTTAGCACAAAAAAATAATAATAATAATCAACAGCACAGTGATGGATTTAACAATGACAAAAAGTGAATGTAAATACAGTTTTACAGCAAAGAAAGTAAATAGAAAATTTACAACAAAAGAGCGTTGTAAATGCAATTGAACCCAGGAAATGTAGGACGTGACATGAAATGATTTTAAGAGCATGAAAGATCAATGTTATGTTTGCATTTAGGAATTGTCATCACAGCAGGAAGTGGCCATCCCCCCCCCATGACCCCCTCCCCCCCACACACACAAGCACGTTTGCCGCAACTTTTTGTTTGGTGCCGATGTTTTAGCTTGGGTTTGATGATGTCGTACACTCGGAGCGAGGCATCAACTCTTAAGTCTGGCAGGTTCAGCTTTTGTGACGTGAAAACTCAAAGCTGGGCTCGGAGTAAATGCTCCATTTGACCGCATTCAAAATAAATCAATCAATCAAAAATCCCAATCTTGCACGTTTCTGTCAATTGTTTAATGGTTCAGGAATTCCTGGTTTGATAGCTTCACATCACTTGCTATTCACTGGAGTAAAATCGAGGTTGGAAGCTTATTGCACTACGGTTCACCTCGCCAAGGTTCAGCCGATCTCGTGTCGAATCCAGTTGACAAACTTGTAGACATCGACGTAGACGCCGGGCTTGTTCGGGAGGCCGCAGCCATCTCCCCAACTCAGCACTCCAGCCAGGTAATGTACGCCGTTGTGCTGGCACACCAGAGGGCCGCCGGAGTCACCCTGCGCGATAAGCCAAAGGTCATGCGCTACCCAAAAAAACAGAGAGCCTGAAATGGTGCCAAGTGAAATCTCCAAAGGGTACAATGGTCAGAGGTGATTTGAAAAAACGAGGACTTTGTCCCCACTTCAGCTTGGAAACTTTTTGAAATGAGAACAATTTGGAAGTCAGCCGGCATCAATCACGCTCCGCTTTGGAGGTTCCAGTGTAGAAACGATTTGTCGCGAGGACGCGACGCTCCGCGTTCATACATAACAAGAGTCGGCTCCCCCTTTCATGTTGCCTGCGCACAGCTCGCCGTCGCGCAAAAGGCCTTCGTACGCTTGAGGCTGATTGCATGTCCGCTCCGAGATGAGCAAGACGTAGGCGTCCAACAAGTCGTTGCTTCTGCTGGCTGGAAAGGGCCACAACTTTAGTTGGCTTGCGGTCAAAGTGAACGAGAAACCGCAATCTGAAAATGCACTTTCAATCAATCACACGCTCATGTCACGTTTTTTTCAGTGGGGAAATTTACAGTTTCCATTGTTTCCCCATCCTGAGACCACGCATTCCTTTCCGACGGGGAAGTCCTGTTTGGGTAGACACACAGTTCGAACAAATCTTGATTCCCGGGCACAGTATTGGCCGTGTGTGACTTGGAGTTGGAGCAGAGCTACAAAACACAAGAAGCGGAGTTGGACAATCACAAAAGGATCCAGAAACATCAACTTCTCCCGTTACCGGTTCTGATGATTTTCACCTAAGTACCAACATCATGAGCAACACAAAGTGCACCGCACCTCGGAGGAGGATAAGTGCTCATATAAAATGAACCGACGGATGCGTTTGGACCAACCGATGTCAACGTCACCACGCGCAGGATGAAGGAGGATGGTGACCACTGGGATGAGCTGGTACGTGAGCTCCGTCGAGTCGAGTTTGACCGCTCCCACCATCACCTGGTATTCATTAGCCGTATCGCTAGAAACACATTCAAGAATCAAACAAATGAAAAACAAAACAGAAGGCCGTATGGAAGCCGGTTCCGGGAACGGCGGGACTTTGGAGCGCAGCCCAAAAGCAAGGTGTTCTTTTGGATTTGGAAAGGAATTGAAAGCGTTTCAAACTTTGGACTTATTCTTCAAGATATGACGGCAGACTTCGATTCTTGAAAATGACAACTTCCTTCCTCTCACTATGACAACTTTTTCATTGACATACAACTTTGTTCTCAGAATTTATTTATTTTTTCCCTCCAAGATACATGATGCCGCTCTCTGAAAACAGGGATCTTTTTCCCAATGTTTTCCGAATGAGCAAGACTACATGTAAATGAGGTGAAAAAAAAAAATCACTGTGTTTATGAAAATAAAATGTGTTCTTCCCATACTAAAGTTTGCCTAGTTCGAATTTCAAGAATACTTAAAAAAAAAAAAATCCTAATTTCTTGGACTAATAAATTTCAGTTCCCAGTACCTACATGCAATGCGCAGCCGTGACGACCCAGCAGGAGGAGAGCAGGGCACCGCCGCAACTCGGATCGAAGGCGACGTTGGAGCCTTTTGGTCGTTCCTGCACCGACACTTGCCACGGGTGGGCACCCGGCCATGACTTGATGCCCCAGAAAATCCGGTGGTGCTCCTTTGGCTGGGCAATACCGCACTGGGAGAACATGGCGACAGGTTGGTTTGGATTGGTCGGGCGAGTAAGATGAAAGACTTCTGTAAATATCGAGAGGGAATGGAAGAGTGAACACAGAGTCTGAGGTTTTCTCAAAAAGAAAAAACTTTTGGGGACACAACACAATATTCTTGAAAACTTTTCAAGAGCACGTGTCACCCCCTCCAAAACTATTAAGACTTTTTCCTCAAACATATACGATTTTATTCTTGGAAACTTTTTTCTCAAATACAAAAACTTAAGACTTTTTATCCAGGTTCTTTGAATTTATTCTCTGCAAATTACAACTTTCTTGCCAAAGTTATTTGAATAAATTCTCTGAAAATTCGGACTTGTTCCAGAGAGTCTGAGACTTTATTAAAAAAATAAATGAATCAATAAATTGAAAAAGACCCACGACTGTATTCTTTTTTTTTCCAAGATTGAAGGCTTTCCCTTCCAAACAATGGTTGTGTGTGAGTTCCCACCTGGGTGGCACGGCTTGACGTCGCAGTAGTCCCACTCCACCTTGGCCCTTTTGACATAACACCACGGCTTGTTCTCCCCATCTGGATTCCTAACATGACAACGATCAAATACATGATTAAACATTGATCTCACACACACACGCACTAACAAAGAATGTAATTTTATGACAAAAAAAGGAAATGACCATTTGATACCTGCAGTGGTTGTTTTGTCCCAAGCCGCTGAAGTTTGGGTACATGTCGAAAGGACTTCGCCCTTCATTTAGCAGAATGGAGACGGAATGCCAGTTGAGACATTCCTCACCGTGTACCGTGGTACTGACCATGCCGCCGTATGACGTGCCGTTGCCCACGTAGCAGTCATTGGGGGCTATACACACACACACACACACACACACACACACACACACACTTTCTCCAATAGTTTCTGGACAAATGTGGTACAGTATATATTTTCAAGAAAAAAAAAATCGTAATCATGTGGGAACGCAGTCACACATTTTCAAGAAAAAAAGCTGCAATCTCATGAGAAAAAAGTTGGACACATTTTTTGGTCAATTTATTGAAAATGCTGTTGTTTAATGTTCTCAAATAAGAATCTCAAATTGTGGACATTTTAGAAGACAAGAGTGCCGATAGCGCGTACCTACTTGGCAGTAGCGTCCTCTGTATCCTTTGCGACAAGTGCAATTTGCTTGGCGATTTTGCTCCATACAGACGCCTCCGTTGTGGCAAGGATTGGGACTGCAGGGAACGGCTTGCTCTGCTCGACCGAGGTTCAAAGTTGGCAAAACAGGAATCAAAGTTGGCAAACCATACGGTGATTAAAAATCGGAATCCGTTGACTTCATTCATCTCTGAGAGGTTCAAATGAATTGTTCTTTCATCATTTCATTGATGATTTATTTGTTTGCAATTCATTCAAATTTTAATCATTTCCTAGATTGACTCCATGTTTATTTCATTTTGGCACAAGAAGAAAGGAATTGCAGGAGTTGACTGGATTAGTCCGTCATTCGTGGCTTACTAATTATGAAATATAAATGATCAATTATGTTTTAGATATTTTTAATCATTTATTTTATGGAGTTATACCAAGACAAAAGTTTTTAGGGCAATTATTTAAAAATATATTCCTCCCTTAATTTAGTCATTCATACATTCATTAATTATACATTTGCTATTCTCAGCAATTAATCCATCTTTTAATCTTTTATTTTATTGGTTATTTATTTTCAACCAATATTTTTTTGCCATTATTTCACATTAAATTCCACATATGTGATAATAACACCAATCCAGCTTTCATATGTATATGCAGTAACTATTATGAATACATTTTGAGTAATACGTTTGCTTTCTAGCCATTTCATTGTTGAATTATTTCATTTTGACACAGCAACAAACATAACAACACTCAAAATATGCCAAATCTCTCAATCTAACTGCTGGCAGTCTGTGTAATTTGTCTGCAAGAAATAACGTATACTTGACTACACTCTTGATGGAGTCGGTGATGCTTTTGCAGAAAACAAATTTGAACCAAAAGCCTTAAATACTCACGTTGGAGACAGTTGGGTCCGAGGTAGGGGTATGTGCACTTGCACTCTGGTCCTCCAGCAGAGTTCAACACGCAGTCACCAAAATGACAATTCATATCCTTGCAGACATCTTTAGCTGAATATTCAATTAAAAAAAAACCCACAACAAACAAACAAACAAAAAAAAAACATTAGGCGAACACAGTGGTACCTTGGCTGACAAGATTTTCAAGATACATACTGGCCGCCCGACTCCCCCTCGCCCTTCCCCGCCTTGGCTTGTGAGCAATGATTTGAGTTACGAGTATTGGACGACGGCTGTGGCGAACTTTATAACGAGCGGCAATTTAGCAGGGAGTGAATCATTTTTTCAAAACTGAACCCCTTAAGCCTTTTATTGCGCCTACCGGTTAAAGTTTGTTGTAAAACTTAGCATAAAAGAAAGAAGAGCCAAACCACTTAATTTAGGTTTGAGAGTCTGCTAGCTCACACGATGAAAAAACGACGAAGGCTAACAAAACTAGCAATGATTTATCTGCTCGGTAGAAACGTTGAAACAACTTATGTTTGGACACAATGACTATAAC